GTATAGAGCCCCGGATACATGTCCCAGTAGGTCCTATAGAGTCCGGTATACATGTCCCAGCAGCTCTTATAGAGCCCGTGTGCATGTCCCTGTAGGTCCTACAGAGCCCCTTAAACGTGTTTCAGTAAGTCCCATAGAGCCCGTATACATGTCCCAGTAGGTCCCATAGAGCCCCTTATACATGTCCCAGTAGGTCCAATAGAGCCCCTTATACATGCCCCAGTAGGTCCTATAAAGCCCCGTATACATGTCCCGGTAGGTCCTACAGAGCTTTTTAAACATGTCCCAGTAGGTCGTATAGAGCCCCGGATACATGTCCCAGTAGGTCTTGTAGAGCCCCTTTATACATGTCCGAGTAGGTCCTATAGAGCCCGTATGCATGCCCCTCTAGGTCCTACTGCGCTTCTTAAACGTGTTTCAGTAAATCCCATAGAGCCCGTATACATGTCCCAGTAGGTTCCATAGAGCCCCTTATGCATGCCCCAGTAGGTCCTATAGAGCCCCTTGTACATGCCCCAGTAGGTCGTATAAAGCCCCGTATAGATGTCCTGGTAGGTCCTATAGAGTCCCTTCTACATGTCCCAGTAGGTCGTATAGAGCCCCGGATACATGTCCCAGTAGGTCCTGTAGAGCCCCTTTATGCATGTCCCAGTAGGTCCCACAGAACCCCTTATAAATGTCCCAGCAGGTCCCATAGAGCCCCTTATACATGTCCCAGCAGCTCCTATAGAGCCCCTTATACATGCCCCAGTAGGTCCTATGAAGCCCCGTATACATGTCCCAGTAGGTCCTACAGAGCCCGCGCACATGTCCCAGTAGGTTGTATAGAGCCATCTTATACATGCCCCAGTAGGTCCTATAAAGCCCCGGATACATGTCCCTGTAGGTCCAATAGAGCCCCTTATACATGTCGCAGTAGGTCGTATAGAGCCCCGGATACATGTCCAATTAGGTTCTATAGAGCCCGCATGCATGTCCCAGTAGGTCCTAAAGAGCCCGTTTATACGTGTCCCAGTAGGTCCCATAGAGCCCGTATACATGTCCTAGTAGGTTGTAGATGTCAGAGAGGCAGCTCGCTCTGCTGGTGCGCGCATCGAAGTTCGGCACAATTCTATCAGCCATTCGTTTACAAAGCCATATGGTGGCAGCGGACGTTGCGGAGTTGCGGTTGCGCCCCCCCCTCGCAACTGCGGGCAGGGCAGTCGGGTCCTGGCCTCGCCTCAGTGGGAAGGCCGGAAACCTAGCGCTTTGGGCGGCAGGGCAGCAGGAGCCTGGCCTTACTTTGTTGTTGATGCTGTTGTTGATGTTGTTGTTAATGTTGTTGTTATGGTTGGTGTTGTTGTTATTGTTGTTGTGGTTGCTGCTATATATGATGTTGTGGTTGGTGCTGTTGATGCTGCTGTTGTTGTTGGTGGTGGTGTGTGTGTGTGTTGCTGATGTTGCTGCTGTTATTGTTGTGGTTGTTGTTGCTGCAGTCGTTGTCGTCGTCGTTGTTGCTGTTGTTGTTGTTGGTGGTGGTGTGTTTCTCATTGGTCGCTCCCGCCAGGAGCCACCCGCGTATTCTAGAGGCGGATCGCATTTCCAACCGGCCCCCAGATGAGCTTGCTGATGATCGCGGTGGTGATGCTGTCATAGGTCACAAGGGGCCACCTCGGGGCCACCTTGTGACAATCTTGGTGGACCGCCTAGGTCGCGCCAGCTGGCGGCCCTGGGGGCCATCTTGGTGCCTTCTGGGTGTCCGCTGGGAGATTTTGGGTCTGGTTTGGCGACTTGTAGTGCTTTTCTGGGGTGTCCAGATGCCGCGTTCGAGCGATGTTGCAGCGTGCTGCAGTCATCTTAGGACCATCGTTGAGGCCAGCTGAAGCTCTCTTTGTGCATGTGTGGGGGCCCTTTTGCCGTCTGAGCCTCGTGGGTCATCGGCGGGCCAACGGGGGCCTAAAAGCTGGCACTTCCAGGCAAATACGAAGCCCAACGGATTTGTCCGAGGGAGGAGGAGGAGGAGGAGGAGGAGGAGGAGGAGGAGGAGGTGGGAAGTCCGAGGGAGGAGGAGGAGGAGGAGGAGGAGGAGGAGGAGGAGGAGGAGGAGGAAGACCCTCCCTGGGGCAATCTTGGATGCTTTTCGAGCTCCTCGAGGCCAGACGAGCGCCAGCGTGGAGGCCAGCGTGGTCCACCTTTGGCCATCCTGTGCGGGTCCGGGGGCCCCGTGGAGCCATATCCGGGAGCAAGGTTACGACACCAACCCCTGCAATGCATTGGTTCGGATTCAACTTCTGGGAGGTCAGATTCTGATCTTGCCCTGGTCCGAAAGCCGGCTTCATCCAGCTTCATCCCGCTTAATCCGGCTCAATTCCGCTTCATCCGAGGCCCACTCCGGCGTCACAGCCCCCCAATGGGGCTCGATCCTCTTTGATCCTTCCGACGAAGACCTCCCAGTAGTTGCCTCCTCTCACGGGGGGTCCAGAGAGGGCCTCGCTTTCGGGGGGGTGAGAGTTTGACATCTCTTCCTCGGCGGATTGATTGATTGATTGGGCAGCTGATGGCGGCAGCCGTGGCTCTGTGACTGACGGCTCCAGACCTGCAGCCTGCGCTTAACACATGGAACGCTGCGTACATCACTGGCACGTCCAAGAGGAGGGAGGGGAGGAGGAAGGGGGGGGGGGGGAGACAAGGAAGAAGGGAAGAGTCGAGCAGGAGCAACGGGGACGGCGGCGGAAGGCCCGCGGAAGCCAGCGAGAGCCAGACGGGGGGAGGGCCCGACGACGGACGCCTGCGGAGGCAGACCTCTGCCGCCCAAGAGGTGCGCCGTTCGGGGGACCGATGGGTTCCTGGAGCGGGCCACGTGGAGCCGTGATCCGGGAGCAATCAGTATCGTTTATCCAGCCCCCAATTTCGGACGCCTAGAGATTGACACCAACACCAATATTGGCGGTGTGCTTCCACCGAAGGAAGATGATCCCGATCTCGGCGATGGTGCTAATACTCGGGCTTCCTAGGTGGCCGAAAGATTACCACCAACACCGAAATCCAGGATCGTCTTCCTCCCGTGGAGGCAACCCCTGGTGTTGGTGTTGGTGCCCATTTCCACGCGTCCAACAATTCTTGGATTGGTGGGCTGGGTCTTCTAGCTGTATTTCAAAGAATCGTTTCATGGCGCACATCTGGTTATCACGCCACAGTGACTGCAGTCGGTTGCAGCACGTTCTTCACGGGAGCGGACCTGCGAATAAGGTTACCACCAAGGGTGCGCTGGTCAAACTCATCCCTTTTGAGACCCCCACCATATTAGCACCCCAGTTGGGGACACGCCCCTCGAAACCCGAAGGGGACGGCCTAGATCCCCATCCAGGGGGGTAGGTAAATCGGCCACTGGGGCCCATGCCATGTCGCTGGGGATGGGGATCGGTTAAACTATACTCGAGCAAGCTTTACGGCACCCACCCCGCAATCGAGATGCCCGAATTTCCGCACTGCTTGTGACGAGCGTGGGGGATCGCGATGATTTCCCAGGGGCGAGCCTTAGGTCGGGCCTGTCGTTCTACAGGAGGAATACCCCTAAAATAGTGTAAAACATAGTTTGGGGACGATGCTTTGACTATGTTTGACCATTTGGGGTGCATTTTGGGGGTATTTTTATTTTTCGTCCAAAATCCGCCTGCAGGAGAACATGCCCGAGCTAAGACGAGCCTCGGGCATTTCGGGGAGGCCTCCCCCGCCGGAGTCCATCCTCTTCCGCTCTTTGCCCCCGGCCACAGACGGCGCCGCCAGCGATCTCGCTTCTGCGTGTCAGCGCAGGCGAGACAGGCCCAGGGAAGCACCTAGTAGTTTTAAGTCGGGCGTGTCCCTCCACAGGAGGAAGATTCAAAAGTGGTCAGAAAGTCGTCAGGGGACGATTTGCTTGGGCATGTTTGGGCTATTTTGGCGCACGTTTGGTGTATGTTTCATTTTTCGCTCAAAATCTGCCTGTAGGGGGACATGCCCGACCTGATAGTAGTTCTCGAGACGAGTCGCTTTTCTTGCGGAGGAGCTGGTGCATAGAAGACCCACAGGACAACGCTGCACCCCCTCCTCCGAGATCATGACCCCCCCAGACGCCCGGCCAGAAAACATCAAATGCGAAAAGGAAAGAACGTGTATACCCACCCAACCTGGAGCAACATACAGTGGCATGATTGTAGAGACTGTACCCCCCACGCGTCCTGCGTCGCCATTCCTGTGCCTGCGACGAAAATAGATAGGTTGCTAAACTAACAAATCACGAATCGATTCAGCACGTTCTCTGGCTGGACCATATCACTAATGCTGGCGCAACGCCGGTAAGTGCGTCGTCGGGGTCACCCTCGGGCGTTGCCAGATACATGCGTACAGTCGGAGCGTTGACCCAAGGAACCCTAAATAAGGAACGAGGCCCCTTTCATCCACAACTTGAACTTCGATTTCCCATCGAAAACCAAAGGAAAACCCAAGGCAAACTGTGAAGCAATCAAGGAACACGGAGCCCCTCCCCAACGAAAAGGGTTCCTTCTTCAGGGCCCCGACTGCACGTGGACGCTGTAAGGCGTAGTGGGCGTTGGCGATCTGAGCCTCAGCTAAGTGGATCTCCATGGCCGGGCAAGCAATTCTGGGGGGTCCTGGCCTCGCCCCGACAAGCTCACGGGGTCCCCCAAGGTTGCGCCTCCCCCTTCACATGGGCTGTTGTGCCTGCGTGGCGCAGGGGGCAGAGGGGGAGGGAATCGGCAAACAGCCTCGTACTTTTGGCGGCAGGGGCGGGCCCTGGAGCACCCACTCGGCCAGTCGCGACAGGCATCCTCTGCCGCCTCCTGCAATCAAAAGTTCGACGCCAAACGTCCACCAGGGCTCACAAGTCAGGCGGGCCGAAGGGGAAGCAACACACACATAACAGTGACTGGTCGTGAGTCGACAGCGCCGCAGACCCCAGCCAAGTATCTCGCACACTTCATCACTTCCGGAAAGCGGGGGTCGGCGGGCTCCTTTACGCGCTCCGAGGGCGTGGCGCTGGGGTCCGCGAGGTATGCCACCGCGCGCAAGTGCGACTTGTGCAGCATCGCTGCCTCGCAGGAGCTCCACGCCACGAGCGTCGGCTACTCCTCCTCGTCTTCCTCCTTCCCCTGGCGTGGAGAGCGACGTGCCGATACCGATCACGTGACCCTTCCCTCGCTATCGCCTCTGGTAGAGGCCTCCTGGGGGGGGCGCCGCCAGGATCAGGCAATTCAGTGGTCGACGTAGGGTAGTTGATAACCGATGCTGCACGGGGCCATTGTGACTCGGACGGGCAAAGCCGAATAATCGTTCGGAGATCCTCGCGGATTTTTTGGATCGGCGCTGGACCCCCCTGGCAGCGCCGCCAGCGTCGCGCTCTGCGCGCAGAGCGCGCCAGTGAGGGGAGCGGGATCAGCGCCGACCAAACAATCCCGTGCGTTTCTGGATGGGCTGCTGGGGTTCCGCGAAGCGCCTGGAACAAGATGGTGCTCGGACACCCTGCCGCGGTCTGCAAGGGAAGCTGCAGGCCCCAGCCAGCAGACCCCTCCCCCCTGGGAGTGGCCGCTGTACCAACAAGTTTTGCAACGATTATGGCTTGGGCGAATGGCGTGAGTTCACCCCCCGGGTCCTGCCCCTAGCGGGCCAGCTTTGCTGTTAGGACTTCAGTCGGGCCTGTCCCTCTACAGGGGGGATATTCAAAAGTAGTAAAAAGATAGTCTGGGGACGATTTTTTGACCCTTTCTAGAATTTTTGTAGTATTTTTAGGATTTTCTTATTTTTGTCGTCCAAGCTCGGCCTGCAGGGGGACAGGCCCGAGTTAATGCTGGACTTGCTTCTTGCGCCCCCCTGGGAGTGGCCGCTTTTTCAGACGGTCGGCCACCCCCGGGGGAGCCGCCCTGTTCTTTGCAGGGGGCGACGGAGGTGTCTGCCAGCTCCCGACCACCGAGCACCGGCGCGCGGCAGACCCGCGCCGCTGGGGGAGGAGGAGGAGGAGGAGGAGGAGGAGGAGGAGGAGGAGGAGGAGGAGGAGGAGGAGGAGGAAGGAGGAGGAGGAGGAGGAGGAAGGAGGAGGAGAGGAGAGGAGGAGAGGAGGAGGAGGAGGAGGGAAGAGGAGGAGGAGGAGGAGGAGGAGGAGGAGGAGGAGGAGGAGGAGAAGGTGCGGGGGGAGGGAGGGGAGAAGAGGAGGGGGAGGAGTAGGAGGAGCAGCAGGAGGAGGACGAGGACGAGGAGGAGGAGGAGGAGGGCGAGCAGAAAGGCCAGAGGCCTTTTGCATGCCTCTCGGGGTCTCTCGGATGTCTCTTGAGAGCTTCTTGGGGTCCTCCTTGGGCCTCTTGGGGGCCTCTTGGCGGTCACGGGAGCCTCTTAGAGCGTCTTGTGTGCCTCGAGGAAGCCTCGTGGGGCCTCTTGGGGGTCTCTTGGGAACCTCTTGGGGACCTTTTTGGGGCCTCTTGGGGCCTCCTGGGCGCTTCTTGGGGCACTCTGAGAAGCCTTGGAGACCATCTGGGATCCTATCGATCAAAGAAGGGGGGGTCCTAATTTGGGTCCCCCGCCCAGCAGGCCAACATGGGGACAACTGGTTTACGTCTTCTCGCCGCGGCTTTCTTGGACGCTTTAATCGGTCGCGGCACCTCCCTTTCGGACCCAGGGGGAGAGGGGGAGGTGGATGGATCAAGACACCCTCCCCGCCCGCAAGCCGTCTCGCTCACAGCCCAACAGCTCCCGAGCCGTAGCATGTTCAGCAGTCGTCTTTGAATGGGCAGCTAATGGGAAACAAAACAGACCACGTGTGCACGACGCTGGGGCGAGGTGCGCCACGCGTGCCAGGCGCGCCACGCGCGCCAGGTGCGCCAGGCACCCCTGGGGCCAAAGCGTGCCAGGATCGCCTGGGCGGCAGATGCGCCACGTGTGCCACGTGTGCCGCATGCTCCAGCCGCGCCAGGTGCGCCACGTTCGGGGCACGCGAAAAGTGTGCCAGGTGCGCCCGCGCACGTGGCAGTACACATCGGGAAACACGGCGGCCCCCACCACCCTTGTCGATAACCAGTGCACAATCGCGGCGGGTTGGCCATCATAGAGTCTGGTGGACCTGCGCACAGCAGGCAATATGCCCGCACCCCCGCCGTCACTATTAAAAAATATTGCAAATGATCGCGAGGTGACCGCGCAAGATCCATATTTCGCCGCGAAATGCACTGTGTATTGTTTTTTGTGCAGGGGTGGTGGCCTTGCGCGCAGCAGGCGATTTGCGCCCCCCCTGGTCGTCCCTGCCAAAAACAGTTGAAAGTGCTCGCGCCCCCCCTGAGCATGACCCAAGATGTTGCCCCAACGTGCACTTCACGTGGTTGTTTGATAGGGCTGGTGGGGGGGTCCTGGGTCCTGGTTGGCTGCCGGTAGTCTGGGTGAGAGGGTCTTACTCAGCAGGGAGCAGTGATAACTCCGTCCCCGAAGGGGGAAGAAGGGTAAGATGGAAGAGGGAACCCTCTCAACCACCTCCGCCTAGAGGGCCGGTGGGATCTACCATGTTTCGTGCCCCTCCCGCGCCAGACTGCGGCAGGGTGTCGTCGGCGTCGCCCCAACATACTTATACTATATGTGCGTCGCCCCCTCACGGGCGACGCGCGCACCGAGAAATCTTATAGTACATGCGTCGTGGCGGGCGCTTTCTGGCCACCCCGTTCGGGAAACGATATACTACAAGATGGGTCTACTATATGTTCGGGTCGGACGCGCGCCTCCGAGGAGGACATATATCTAGCGCGTAAAAGACGCCCCTACCCTGGTTTACGAGGCGCTGTTCGCTGAACCTCCTGTGGGCTGACAGGGTAAATCCTGCGTATCGCGCGTGTCACGCGGCGTCCTGGCGGCTCTCTCGCCTCTGGGAGCTCCCGGGAGGTCTACGGACCACGCACTCGTAACCCATAGGGTAGGGGCGTTTCTGCACCCCTCAAATCCAGTATCACCATGTCTCTGTGCGTCCCACACGTCGGAGCGCCCCCACTGTTCACCAGGCTTCGTGCCGCTCCGGTGCGTGCAGGGGCGAGGCCCCGCCAAGGCCGCGAGCCGGGCGCCGGAGAGCACCGTCGTGTAACTTGCGAGGCCCCGCGCCCTGCCTGCCCCTCAGTAGTCCTCCTACCTCCTCCTCCTCCTCCTCCTCCTCCTCCTCCTCCTCCTCCTCCTCCTCCTTCGGGGGTGGACAGACCTCCTGCCCCGACGCGTCGATTAGCGACTTGGCCGTTTTCGGTTCGCCAGAGGGCGTCGCGGCCAGTCCTTTTGGCGGGTCCAGGTCCGTTGGTTTTGGTTCCAGGCCGTGTTCACACAAGGGAGGTTTGTTGCAGGGAGGTGTGTCCACCGCCGCCGAAATAGGGAGGCCCCGCCAGACCACAGCAGGGCGTCGGCGCGCGAGCGTATTTTCACCACGTCTCGTGCCCGCCATCCTGCCTGCCCCTCCTGGGGAAGCCCCGCCAGACCGCGGCAGGGTGCTGGAGCATATTACCATGATGATTATTATTATTAGTTTTTATTATTAATAGATGTTATTGTTTCTGTGATTTTGATTAGCATGATGATGATGTTGAGGATGATGATTCTTATTACTCATTTTGTTATTATTAGTAGTATTATAATTATCATGAGTCTTATTATTAGTATTATTATGATGAGTTTTACTACTACTACTACTACTACTACTACTACTACTACTACTACTACTACTACTACTACTACTACTACTACTACTACTACTACTACTACTACTACTACTACTACTACTACTACTACTACTACTACTACTACTACTACTACTACTACTACTACTACTACTACTACTACTACTACTACTACTACTACTACTACTACTACTACTACTACTACTACTACTACTATACTGTACTACTACTACTACTACTACTACTACTACTACTACTACTACTACTACTACTACTACTACTACTACTACTACTACTACTACTACTACTACTACTACTACTACTACTACTACTACTACTACTACTACTACTACTAACTACTACTACTACTACTACTACTACTACTACGACTAACGACTACGACTACGACTACGACTACTACTACTACTACTACTACTACTACTACTACTACTACTACTACTACTACTACTACTACTACTACTACTACTACTACTACTACTACTACTACTACTACTACTACTACTACTACTCTACTACTACTACTACTACTACTACTACTACTACTACTACTACTACTACTACTACTACTACTACTACTACTACTACTACTACTACTACTAGTATTAGTATGGTTATTCTTTTTATTTATGTATGTATGTATTGATTTTTGTGTTTATGTATGTATTTATCTGTCTGTTTAGTTATTTATGTATTCCTATTCTCCGTCCCCTTCCTTGTGGCTGGTGCTTTTTGCTTTGGCGGGGGCCAGGTTTTAAAGCTACTGTTGGGCGTGTCAGCCAATTTTGGCAACCACGCTGCCAACTTTCCCTCCTCATCTTCCCCCGTCTCCTTGTGCTCCGCCCTCTGCCTCCTCCCCCTCTTTGTTTTTGCAGGTGGGTCCGAGGCTTTGCTTAGGATCCTTTGTCCGTCCCCTAGCGGGGTCGGGACTCCCCTCCCCCTCTTTCCTCTCTCTCCTCGTCCTCCCCCTGCTCCTCCCCTCTCTTTGCCCCCCGCGTTTGCGCGGTTCCGAATGTTGTCGCTCGTGCGGCTTCTCCATCCCTACAGCTTGAGGATTTGAATTGCTTCGAGCCCGTGGTGAAGGGTCACCGGTGCCACTGTTGCTAAATGGAGTGCTCACTTGCGTGGTTGTTCATGGAGTTGGGGCTCCTCTTGCGCTGGAGAAATGTATTTACTGATCGATATATGTGTTTTTCTTTGTGTTAGATATGTATTATTTTTATTAAACTGATGTTTGCTATCAGTATTGTTATTCTAATTTGCCACGTTTCCTGCCCCTCCCACCCGTCCACTGAGGCACCGCCAGACCGCGGCGGGGTGTCGGAGTGCCTTCTGATTCACCAGGTCTCGTGCCCCTTCCACCCGTTTAGGGGAGTCCCCGCCAGACCGCGGCAGGGAGTCGGAGCACACCATTATTCCATAGATTTCGTACCCCTCGTACCCCTCCTACCCCCCCAGGGAAGCCCCGCCAGACAGCGGCAGGAGGCCAGAGCGCCCTCTATTTTTTCAAGTTTTCGGGCTCCTCCCACCCTGTCCACCCGTCCAGGAAGACCATCGTGCTAACAAGGTCTCGTTGTTCCGGACTCTTCTATTTCCCTGCCACATGTGCGCCCCCGCCCCCAACCGCGACTCGATAAACCCCCCCGTGCGAGGAACTTCGATCGTATGCGTATAGCTCCCCAATCAGTGCTTGCACTGAAGGGGTTCCAGCGGAAGTTGAAAGATTTGGCGAAAGCTTCCCGCCGATTCTGGCAGCAGGCTGGGTTCCGGAGTTCCCGGCTCCGGGTTCCCAGGTTCCCGGTTATTGTTTCTGGGCCGGTTTCGGTGGGTTCTGCGATCCCGGGCTCCCGGGTTCCCGGTCGATCTCCTCAGCGAAAACCATCCATTGATTGGGGTTTTTCTCTGGTGTAATTCCCATTTTGAACGTGAGCGTGAGAGAGGGCGCGTTCTGTGGTCGCCTGGAGAGGGGGAGGGGGTTGGAACCGGACCCCGCCCCCAGGATGTGGAGGGGGGGGGGGGGTATTCGACCCCCCCCCCCACACCTCCCGTGAGACGCGTTCCCTCGAGCGTGATGACGATGAACTTCGGCGACGGCACAAGCGCCCGCGGCGCTCACACGAGGGCGTGGCGCGAGAGGCGCGGCCTGCTTCACAAGGTGGGGAGCCCCTGCGGAGGCGGGGGCCCCCTTCTGGGGAGGCCCCAGGAGCCCTGGGCGAAGGCCGAGGGGCCTTCTGAGGCGGGGGGCCTATAGAGAGAAGGCCGGGGCTCCCAGGAAGGCGCCTCGCAGAAGCTGGGAGGGGGCTCCTCCTCCTCCTCCTCCTCCTCCTCCTCCTCCTCCTCCTGGTCCCTCCTCTCCTCCTCCTCCTCCTCCTCCTCCTCCTCCTCCCCTTCCTCTGTTCCTCCTCCTCCTCCGCCTCCTCCGACTCCTCCTCCTGCTCCTCCTCCTCCATCCTCCTCCTCCTCCTCCTCCTCCTCCTCCTCTCCTCCCCTCCTCCTCCTCCTCCTCCTCCTCCTCCCCCTCCCCCTATGCCTCCTTGCAAGAGCTCCCTTTTGTGCCCCTCTCGCTGCCGCTCTGCGGCTCCGGCACCCTCCGCAACTCCTCGGGCTGCTGCTGTGGTCTGGATCGATCGCTCGAGCACCTGCCTCGGGCCGCCCGTCGTTGGCACGTTTGCACCCAGGTCATCTCTAACTCCGGATCCGCCCTACTTTGGGGAACTGTGTAAGTAGGGCTTGGAATTTCCGCCTTACTTTTCAAGCCCCGCTGATGCCAATTTCCGCCCTACTTTTCTGTTGCTGTTTCTGTGGATTTCCGCTCTATTTTATGTTGGGTGCAGCAATTTCCGCCCTACTATTTCGGCCTCTTATAAGTGGATTTCCGACGCAATTTTAAGTTGGAAAAAAAGCCAAAGTAGGGCGGATCCGGAGTCAGGGAGGTCATGCCCCAAGAGGGCCGACGACGAACAACAACTTTCTCTTGGACGGCCGGCCCCCCTCGCGCAGCACCCTAGTGGCCCACCGCCACTCGGCTTCCCGGCGCACCACCGGCGCGGACACCCAGCAGAGGGTCGTCGGCCGTCGCCGGCGTCGCCGAGCGCCGCCCGCGCCCGTTGCCGCGCCTTGGTCGACGCCTCGAGGGCAGGGCTCATCGAGATCTCCGTCGTCGCGGTCGTCGTCGATCTCCGCGGCAGGAATTTATCCATATCCACCGCCTGGAGGGTCAGTTTTCGGAGCCTCGGCAGGGGGTGGATATGGACATACTCGGGCCCCCGGGGGCCGAAATCTATCCATATCCACCGGTTCGCAGGCGGTGGATATGGATAAATCCCTGCCTCGCACGATCGGTGGAGGTGGTGAGCCGCAGGATCAAGTCGGGCACGTCCCTCTACAGGAGGAATAGCCAAACAATCGTCAAAACATAGTCTGGGGACGATTTTTTTGGATTGTTTGTGAGCATATGTTTGGGGTATTTTTCTGGCATTTTTCATTTTTCATCCAACATCCCCCTGTAGGGGGACATGCCCGACCTAACCGCAAGAAGGGCGACACACTCCCTGTTCCTTCGCCTCCTCCCCCTTTCTCTTCTCCTTGGCAGTTGCGTCGCATGGTGGAGTCCCCTCTCTCTCAGTGGGAAAGCTGGCATTCTCATTATCCCTGAATGTGCCTGGAGGGAAAAAAACAAAAAAAGAATGCCCGACCTGATCGCAGGAGCTCTACGTCGTGAGAGCCTTCGCGCGCCGGCGGGCCGCTGCCGGCGAGCCCCGGCGCCTCCACCCGAGCGTGATGTACCTCGGGAGGCAGTGCTGCGAGGCGCTGCTGAAGGAGCCGTGGCTCCGAGATCGGGGCTCGAGGGACGGGGTCAATGTCGACTACACGTAAGAGTGACCCTTCGCCGGAGTGACCTGTGGTGCTGGCCCAAAGGGGGGTCGGGTGATTTTTCTTGCGGAATGAGCTTGGCCTCGCGTCGGCACCCGTATCGCGTGATTACGCTCGCATCTGAGCGCGCCAGGTTTGGGCTCTTCCCTTGCAATCGACAGCAACGCATACGCGTCAAACCCTACAGCTTGCATTGGTTACCCGAGGGGGAGCCGGTCGACCAGACGGCGCGCTTTCCCGCCCAGGACCAGTCCCGAATCCCAGCCCAAGCCCCAAAACGTCTGGCTTGAATGTATTTGGATATCTTTGAATATGTTTGGATATCTTTGAATATCTTTGAACATGCTTTTTCGAACCAATGGGGATCTTTTTTTTATAAGTTATCCAAAGATATTCAAACATATTCCGGGCTCTCCGATGGGGCCGGTTTTGGCAATCGCGCCGGGCCTGGTCAGACTTCATCGCGATGCAGCCCGGCAGTGCCAGACCTCATCGCGGTGGCCCCCAGCAGCGTCGGCTTTCGCAGGCCCTTCGAAGTGCCATTCGGGGCGCTCGAAGCCCATTGGCAGAATTCCGCGGTTGCCCGCTGGCGCAAAAAATCTTTCGAGTGGCGCCCCGCCGATCGTTGATGCGGTGCGGCAGCGCCGGCTTGCGCGATCCGGGCTTGGGTGCAGGATCTTGCAGGATCCGCAGAGTTTTGCAAGGCCTGACTGAACCAGTTGTGGATTGACCCGGGTCAGAAGATCCCCGACCAGAAGGAAAGGTACCGACTTTGCGACACTTCAGTCGCGTTTTCCCCTTCCTGGGCCTCCTGGGAGGCCCTCGTCGCCGCGGCCGGATTCGCTTCGACATCCCCGTCAGAATGCGCTCCAGGAGAAGTCCATGGAGTAATTAGCGGTATGGGTACCTTTTGGTTTCCCCACCGACCTGGCCATGCCCCGAGACCCAGATATCCGAAAATATGTTTAGTCAGTTCTGGCGATGTCCTTCGATTTCGGCTGCCTGGGCGGGTGAGCGGGCCCCAGGGACATCAGACATGGGTCCGGGACGAACAAGAAAGAAACCCGGGGAGGCGTCGGGACTTCTGAGGCCGCTGGTTGTTGAAGTACTCGACGCGGCGAGATCCCCTATATGTGCGTCTCATTTCCTGCCACGTCCCGCTGCGAGCGCCTGGGTGTGAGTGCCTGGATGTGAGAGCGAGTCCAAGTGGACGACGACGACGACGACGAACAAAGAGGCGGTGAGCAGGTCCCCTCCCCTCGCCTACTGGATGTTATGCCGTCCATGCCGACAGCTCGCGCGAGAGGCCGACGTGCCGCTCCCGCCCGGGCGCCGCGCTCGTTGCTCTGGAGAGCGGCGCTCCCTCTTGGGCGCGGCGCGGGGGCGGGCGAAGATGCAGACCTTGCCTCGGCGCGGCGCAGATGCCGTCCGAGAGCGGCGCTCTCCCGCCTCGACGCACCGCCTCGCTGCCGCTCTCGCCGGAGCCTCGGGGGGGGGCTCTGGGCGAGGGGGCGACCTGCCGCCCACTCGCGCCCAAGCTCCGGGCGCCTGGTCGCTCAGACTCGGCGTGCCCGCGCGGGCGCGGCGCATGGCTCGTGCGCCGAGTCGAAGGACAACGGCACACGGGGCAGCGGGTCCGCGCGGGAGCGGGCGGAGTGCCAGCCTCGCCCAGGCACCGCGCAGCCTGTGAGCGGAAGCGGCGGTGCTGTGCCAGCGTGGCGCATCATGCTCCGTCCTCGCCGCGCCCCTCCGAAGGGTTGCAGGCTCCCCCCCCCCTTGTGCGGCCCGCGCAGTTTCGCTTCGCCAGGGCGTCGGGGACGCGCTCGCGCGCGAGCGCTCTCCGCTCGCGAGGCGGGAGCGCGCTCCAGTCCCAACGTCAGGTTGTGCCACACTTGATCCTTGCGCTGTGGGAGGGAGGCCGGGAACAGGCGGGGCCCCCCGATTCGCCCCACGTGGCCAAACTGGCCCCCTCCCTGCTCCTCCTCCTTCCTCACTTTCCCCACCCGGGTCCGCCTCCTGCCTCCTCCGTCCTCTCTCGTCCTCTTCGGCGGCCGTCCTCTCCCTCCTCCTGCGTCCTCCTTTTTCCTTTCCGTCCTACCTCCTCCTCCTCCTTCTCCTCCTTCCTCTTCCTCCTCCTCCTCCTCCTCCTCCTCCTCCTCCTCCTCCTCCCTCCTCCTCCACCTCCTCCTCCCTGTCCCTGGCAGGTGTTCCATTTCCCGGCGCCCCCTCCTCTGTCCTTCCCCTTCCCCGCCGTGGCCTCTCCGCTGTCTCCCTGCCTCGCCCCTTCTCCTTCCTCCTGCGTCCTCCTATACTCCTCCTCCTCCTCCTCCTCCTCCTCCTCCTCCTCCTCCTCCTCCCCCTCCTCCTCCCCCCTCCTCCCCCTCCCCCCTCCTCCCCTCCTCCCCCTCCTCCCCCTCCCTCCTCCTCCTCCTCCTCCTCCTCCTCTCCTCCTCCTCCTCCTCCTCCTCCCCCTCCTCCTCCTCCTCCTCCGTCTCCGTCCTCCCTGCTCCTCCCTGTCGGCCGTCCTTTTCCCTATACCGAGGTGATCCAGGCCTCGGAAAAAAGTAGCGAACACTCATGCCACATTCATCTGTGAACGCCTCCCCCCTCCCCCCAATGTTCCGAGTTGGCTATGGGTCTGATGAGTTGCACCTCGACCGCAGTCTCCCCCGCGCGTGCCAGCTTTGAGTTTTTGGGGCAGGGGGAGTGTTCACTAATTGTTTCCCTCTACCGTCATGGGATTATGGGGCTCTGAATGGACAGGGGTCTGACGTGCCATGCGAGCGCTTCTCTCAAGACATCTCGACAATCTGGCAGCGACTGGGTGAGTGTCCCAGCCCTTGGCGACTCCACCTTGGGGGGCTGAAGCCAGCGCCCCGCTCGAGACATCCTCCAAATATGTTCTTTGGGTTTCGCTCGAGACATCCTGACAATGTGGTCCTTGGCGGCTTTCCTTAGGGCGGTGCAATCAGCGCCTCGCTCACGACATCCTGCCAATCGCTTTTGGAAGCAAAGGAATAAGCGAGCCAACACAGGCACACCGCCTGAGACATCCCAACAATCTGGGAGGGAATGGGCCCTGAAGCTCTTTCTTGGTGTGCTAAAGCCAGCGCCTCGCCCGAGACAGCCTCACACGATGTTTTGAAAAGCGCAAGAGTCTGGGTCACCAAGCAGGCAAACCCTTTCAGACATCCAAGCGATCTGCTCTGAACGCAGGGGAGCCTGGGCCACCAAGTACGCACACCGGCTCAGACATCTGCACAACCTGCTCTGACAACAGAGTGGTCTGTGCAACCAAACAGGCAAACCACCTGAGACATCGCCACAATCTGGGCGCGAACGGGGGGGGGAACTCACCCCTGGCGGCTCCCCAGTTGGGGTGCTGGAATCAGCGCCTCGTTCGAGACATCTTCACACTCTACGAGTGTAAGTGAGAGTGCATCACAAGTCCAAATGCGAGTGAGACTGATTGTGAGCGAGTCTGAGTGTGAGGGACTCTGAGCGTGAGTGGATCTGAGGATGAGTGAATCTGAATAGGAGTGAGTCCGAATGCGAGTGCGTCTGAGTGTGAGTAAGTCTGCGCATGAGTGAGTGTGAGTGCGAGTGAGCCTGAGTATGAGCGAGTCAGCGTTAGGAAAGTGGAGGATGTAAGTGAGTTCGGGTGTGGATGAGTCTGAGTATGGGCCAATTTGCATATGGGTTAGGAGGAGGAGCAGGAATGTGTGTGACGTGAGTCGGCGGCGTCTGAGTAACAACCGGGACCCCATCCTGGGATTCATGGAGCGCACATCGGTCTTGCGGGTGTCGCAGGATCCTGGCGTTGCATTTTTGTTGAGCACCGGGCAGGCTCGCCTTTGCTTTGTTCCCTCGCTCCTCCGCGGCCGCGCTCTGTTTTAGGCGTTCGATCACGGGACCCTTGTTGAACGCAGCCACCCGTCTTTCGCGCCGAAAGCCGCCGACGACCGCCGGAAACCAACAAAGACTGCCGAAGGCCGCCGAAGACCACCCAAGGCCGCCGAACACCGTCCGAGGACCGTCGGAGACCGCCGACGACGGCCCAGAGGAGCGATGGGTAACAAGGGGTCCATCGTCGAACGCGCAATCGTCTTCTCTTGCCACCCTCGAATGGTAATTCCCTTTGTGGCGGCCCAGTTTATGCCTCACGCACCGCGCGAGCGTCGGGTCCCCACGGCCCAACAGCGTAGTTATGTCATGATTGTCGGCCCTGGGCGCCTTCGCAGATCAATTGGGCGCGAGGAGCGGGAAAGAAAGCCAGGGTCTGGGGCAACGCGGCCGCTTCCTGTATTTCTCCTCCTCTCTCGTTTCCTCCGTCCTTTCTCCTTCTTCTTCTTCTTCTTCTTCTTCTTCTTCGTTTTAGCTTGTACGAACACGGTGTGATGTCCCCTTCCCCTCAGCCGGGCGGCTGGCAGTTTTCACCACCAAGGTTCCTCGCTCGTGAAGAGTGCAGGCCGGGGTCTGGGGCTCCTGCCGTGGTCCTCCGCGGTGCTTGCACTTTTGGCACTCTGGTTGCCCTCGGCCTGGGACCGTCAAGGGGCGGCGTGGGGAGAACGTCGGGGCCGGGCGGAGGGACCGAGAGCTCCCAGGGGGGGGGGGACACGCCATGAAGCAGTCATTTTGCGCCAGAGGCCCGGGGAGGGCGTAGACTCGACTATCCGTCAGAGTGACCTCTCGCCAGAGTGACCCTTGGTGCGGGCCCCAATGGGCCCCCCGATCGCTGAATGCGATGCGATAGCAGCGGCTTGCGCGCCTGGTTGTGTCCCCAAACGGGCCCCCCCCTGGCCGCGCACCAGAGGTCACTCTTGCCTAGGGTCGCTCTTGCGTGTAGCCGGTAGACGGGGTTGGAGTGTGATCGCTGAGGCTTCGGTTGCGCACAGACTGCCCCCTCAGGTAGTCCTGGCTGGCCTCTACAGGCCGCCTGGGGCGCC